TTCTCACCATCTAGATTCTAGCAGTTTTTAATACTCAGTGCTTCTGCCCAAGGCCCATTATTAAGGAAATCATTACTTCCCATTTAATATTTACATTATTTTCAATAATATTTCTATTAAAGGAAATATTGAATAAATGACCATTGTCAGAAACACAGGTTTGTGTTCATTATAATATTATAGAAGTTATGAATATGTAGTCTAAGACCTGGAAATAAGTAGCAGTGATAGAGGGATAGCAATACCAAAACTAAAAATAATCATGAACTCCCAATTCAAGTAGCATCAAATATACTGGAAGAAAGGGTCTGACTTAGCTAAGAAATCATGGGTTCATTTTACCTTTACTCATTAAAAAAAATAATAAAGTTACTTAGACTATGTGCCAGGTGCTGGTCCAGCTTCTGAGGACACAGCACAGAAGTATATAACAGAGGTTAATCTGATGGTAGATGGATGGGAGGATACTTTGAATAATCAACCAGCATGATATCCCTCCAATTTCCACCCTAATATAAAAGAACAGAAGCAGTTCAAGTTTAAGGTTCATCTTTCATGAAGTGACATTTGGTAGGTGTCTTCCAGACACTTCTTTTCTCCACACCTGTTTGCTGTGGCCTGAAATTCTATTATGAGAAGACAAAGCATTGTTGCCACAATTTCAGAAAAATAATAAAAGATTCAACTGCCAAACAGAACTAACACACTAGCTGGAATGTACTCATTTTAAAAAGTATAATCAGGTAATAAAACACAGTGAATATGATCAAGTCCTTTACAGGTTTTGATAATGGGGAGAAAATTAGAGACCTCAGACAGCCATGGACATTTTAAGGTAAAAGCAGAATCATTAGTGAGGGAAGAACAAGTAAAAATGAAAATCTACTTATAGTTCTGGCTCAGTCTGCCTTCAAATCTATGGACAAATAAAATGTGTAGGCAGAGGACATTGTGAACCAGACCCTCCTGAATACGCATAAGAGAAGCACATCCATCATTAGCAGATGAAATAGATCAGCATAGCCTCATACGTTTAACGAACTCGTTTCCTGGCACTTATTTGTTGACTGGCTTAGCACTCAACTTCTTAGAGACTTATTTCTGGAGAATTAACCAATGAAGCAATTTTTGTCCTTCCCTAAGATTAACTCACAGCTAAGTACCAATTCATTTAGACAGGTATCTGCCCCACAATAGTGTATCTCCCTGACAGACATTCCACAAGGGAAAAAGGAATGAGAGGGTCACTAAAAAGGATAAAACATTCTATCAAGGAGAAGATGGTAATTCAAAACTCTAAGACATGTTATTTGATTTTTTCCCCAACTATCATCTATTCTTTGTTTGTCAAAATAACACTTGTGTATTGGCTGAGGGAAGTGGTTTCTATCTCAAGGACTATAAAACTACTCTCTGATTATAAAAAGAGCATGTGTTTGTTTTTTTTCATCACACATGGCTATCATCTCACAATGATTTTTGCATTATTCCAAAGAAAGGAAAGCTCTTACTCACAGATGAAAAGCAATTTGCACATATGAGTTCACTACCTGAAGCCGTGGAAAACAGAAAATATACAGATGTATTGAAAAGAAAGAAAAAATATGTTTTGTTGTAAAATGAATTTGAACTAAAGAAACTTTTTCTTTTAATGGTGACAACACTGTTAAGCCAGGGGGTGCTGCAATATGGTGAATCAATTTTACTCAATTTTACTGTTTGAACATGGCACTTAGTTGTTATGCCAAACTTCTTAAACTGTAACCTGAGGACAATAAGGTCCAAACAAGAGTATTTAAAAAGATAAGCTGATAACTTTAAGGTAAAGTTTGATGTAAGGTTTAGGGTAGGACACAAAGATACTCATTCCATTCAGCTTGGGCCTTAATCCTGGTGGTTAATTGAAAGAACAGCATAGATTTCAAATAACTAATTCAGCTAATTTGTTTAAAACTTCAGCACAAACAAATCTGAATATTTGTATTCTACTCTCATAGCAAAGAACATTCAATATGTGAAGAGATGAGAAGAGAAAAGAGGAAGAAAAATACTACTAGCCAAGAATCAACTTTAATTTTAAATTACCTCTATATGTGAGCTGAGACTTTTGTCAAAGTATCAACCAATACTTAAAATAAAAAATCAGGGAATTAATTAGATGTTTAAAAACAAAAACACTTTCATTTTGACTTATCTTTTCCTTTCAGAACTATCAAACAGAAGTTTTTTAGAGGATTTATTCAATGTGCTAAGACAAAATTTTGGCATCTCTGACAAGACAGTATCCTCCAAACTACTCTCTAAAATCCTTAAACATTCTACTTCGGGCAAGGGTGGGTTTTGCAGGAATGGGAAAGAAATGTGTTTCCTTCATTTCTACCTGCTTTTTACTTGAGGTTTTAGCCCATTTCTAGCCTCATTTTGGGACTCCCCTCAAATGGAGAATGACTTCTGGCATGGGACAGTGAAGGACCAATATTAATTGTCTGTCCAGACCAAAGCAATATAAATGCATTTGACAGGTGGTTAGAAAGGAAAAAAAAGAGACCCAGGTGTGCGCTATTTGGGGAATAACTATACAGTGGTCCAGTAATCCTAACCTCTACCCAGTTAGGATGGCAGCATCTCTAGAAAATATAGCTGGCAAACTGAGACCTGCATGAGATGATCTATACAAAAAGTTGCTCATATATGATGTCCTGCTGTTTTTCATTTAAGTAGCATGGAACTAGTCGGTGTCTGTCACAGACTGCTTGTGGTTAAGGGTCTTGGGCACCAAAATGGCCTCTGTAGTGTGCACACAAGTTCTCTATTCTCATGCATTTTTTTTTTTTTTTTTTTTGCGGTACGCGGGCCTCTCACTGCTGTGGCCTCTCCCGTTGTAAAGCACAGGCTCCGGACGCGCAGGCTCAGCAGCCACGGCTCACAGGCCCAGCCGCTCCACGGCATGTGGGATCTTCCCAGACCAGGGCACGAACCCGCGTCCCCTGCATCGGCAGGTGGACTCTCAACCACTGTGCCACCAGGGAAGCCCCTATTCTCATGCATTTTATGAAACGTTTTTCTTTGCGGAAAACATCCAGTAAAAGCTTATGCAATTTCATCTAACTACAAATTCAGGATAAGCACTTGGGTTTTAACCCCAAGTATTTCAGAGGGTAAAATAAATTCATTTTCTCATCTACGAAATACGTGAACTGTATTAGATAGCCTTTACCACAGCCTCTTTAGGTTCTAAGATTGCCTCTCCTCATTGTGTATCTTTTCCTTATTAAACTGCATATACTCAACAAAGGGTCAATTTTTAAAATTTGTATCTGTGTTTTTCTTAGGAAACAAGTCAGCTAGTTAGGAAGCAATGTTCTGTTGAATAGAAAAGACAAAGAAGAGAAAAAATAGATGGGGGGAACTGGAGAAATTATAGATAAACTTATCCTGGGATAGAAAACAATGAAGAGCATCCCCCCAAATTATAAAGGAAACACAACATAAAGAAGGTCTTGGTGCATTGTATTAAAGCTAACAAGAGGTAGAAACTTCCAAGATGACATTTGAGATTTGAGTTTGAATTTGACTTGGCAAAACATGAACAAATAAACAAGCAAACAAAAAGATTAGTTCCTTCCAGCTAGTTCAGATTTGTTACAACTTTTCCCCTTGGCAGGGAGAAAGACCCAAATATAGACATTCCTCCCTCTGAGGGAGATTCTTGGATTTAATGGCAAAGGACACCTTTTCTAGATTTCCATCTTTGCTCCATGTGTTTTCTATTGTTTGGGTTTTTCTCAATTTAGGGTACAAGCATTTTTTTCCCCTTTAGAGTTAACTATTCACCAGTCTTGACCCAAATGAGGTTTATCTGCAGTGAAAAGACTGACTTCCATGTGAGGGGGATTCCACAAAGAAAAAGAATAATAAAGATATGTGATGTGAACAAACACCTCTCTATTGAATTTTACCAAAACTGTGAATTATGCTTTGTTTGTGTTTGTAGAGCTGCCTCTTTCAATATATTTTCAATAGACAACAAGGCACCAAGAACGCTGAGTAAATAACAGATGTTAAAAATAGCTACTACCTAACAACGTTACTGGAAGAATTAAAGTGCAGAAAACTCTGTCACATGTAAAGCCAATTTAAAACAAAGGCTGGCATAATACTGATTCTTTGGTTCTTTTCCAATTAATAAAACACATTAGCTCCAAACACATCTCTCTCGCTTAAAACTATTTGGGTTGTTTTCAGTTTGTTTCTTTTCAACCCCCACTAAAATACACAATAGTGGATACTATTCTTGGTGTAATTTTGCTTTTTCCTTCATCTTTTTTTAAAAATATATATCCAGAGTGCCAGCATACATCTGCATGTGTGGACTACACATATGCCTTGTTTTCATACTTGGAGAGCATGGAAATTCTTCTTAAAGACTCTTTATACCAGATTCCATTAGGTCATGTTATTCAAATACAATATGACACAAAATTCATTTGTTCATTTGGTGTCTAGCTGCTAAGGGATACAGCCAAAAAGTTAACCTTTGCAGAACAACAGAATACCAGTAGAGATCCTGATCGTTGCCCATAGGCATGTACAGAACCTCTGAGCAAGGGGAACTACACTTTTGTATTAAAACCTAGAAGAGCACAGCATTATTGGGAAACAGCTATTTCTACCCCATATACAATGAAATAAATGCAGTGACTTCCATTCTACTTGCAAAAGCCCAGTAGCTTTTCTAGACCTCTAAAGTCATTTAACATATTTTAAACAGAAGCCCTATCACTTCTGCCTTTAAATAGCAAAACACAACTCCTGAGAAACCAAAGGTTCTGAAATGTCCCTTCAAGCCCACCAAAGGCAGTGATTTAACTTTGCTTTCCTTAAAGGCCAATTTCTACAGAGGAATGAATCTGACAAAGCAGTAAACACCATCTAAAATCATTTTTGAAAGTCTCACCTAAGTTACTATTCACATGTAAAAAATGCTGTCTATTACTTACATTTTGCTGTCACTTTGTAGCCCCCCAGAGGAGGGGCGTGGCCTTCTAATGCATCAAATCCAGCAGAAACCAGGACCATGTCTGGATCAAACTCTTTGGCCACAGGCTTCACTATAGTCCTGCACGGTAAAAAGGCAACCAGTTACCCATGGGAATGGCAAATACCTTTAAAAATTGTGCAGTGAAAATGACTTGGTACAACCTCAGAAACATCCCAAGAAAAAAGAAAAGGGGAAAAGCAAACACTATTTGAATGGACCAAAAACTTATCATTTTCTTAATACTGAATCACTGTTATTTTAGCATCCCAATTCAGTCTTTTTTTCTCCAAATTAAAAAAAAATGCTTTGCAGGTACATTCTAAAGCCCATCATATTACATGAACATCTGTGGCTGTTTTATCCCACTGCCTATAAAAAACTGCTTCTTCCAAGGGAGTGACTAATGTTTTACAGAGGAAAGTCGAAGCTTTAGTGAAAACCCGGCTTGCTCCAGTTAGTGAGAACTTGGTGTAAATTTGAACTATAAATTTCTTTTGGGAAAAAGTTGCTTTTCCAACTTTTTTTAAGAAACATTTTAAAATGTTTGTCGTGGTAGGGGGTGACTCTTGCAAAGGAAAAACATGAAATTCCTTTAATAGAATCCAGATTATAATGTTAAGTGAGTCCAAGGTCAGAGACACCAGGAATGTGGCAGTCTCATCCCTGACAGCAGCCCCTGCTGGTCCCACTCAGACACTTCAGCACTTACCTCCTCAGCCTTCTCAGCCTTCCCTAATCCCTTCCTCCTCAGAGCTGGATTTGAGAGAGAATGACTAGTGGATGCTACTGAGCTTTATAAAACCAAATGGTTTTTTGGTGCAGGCTTCAAGACCAGTGTGCCATCATTTCAATTCAAAATTTAAAAGACTATTTAATGAAATGGGAATAGTTCACACTACTGTGAATTTAAAAATTAGTAAGTTCTCTTTTGTGTGTTTGGGAGAAACAACTAGACCAAATATTAAAATAGCTATCCTTGAATGATGACATAATTAAGTTCTAACTTTTGTGTATTTGCAAATTTCCCAGATTTTTTACAATGACCACATATTAGTTTTATACTTAAATCTTTTTGCATGTAAACAAGAAGTTGTTCACGTTATAAAATAAAAAAAATACTTATTTGAAACTTACCTACATAGAGATAAAAATGAATTAAATATCTTTCTCAACTGTACTACTGTCATAAAAGTATAAAAGTTCAATCCTTCAAAATCATAAATGTACATGTAAGTGACTTCCACGGTAGCCTTTCCAACATTTGGAAAGCTACTTATACCTGAATTGGCCCATCTGTGAAAGTGAAAATTTAATTTTGTCTACCATGTACCACTTCATTATTTTACTCTTCAGTAAAATTAAGAATCTCTAATACAGCTACATTATCAGGAGAGATATTCAATACTGTTCCTTCCTAATAATACCAATAATTTTTTACAAAAGTGTCACACGTTATGAAGTCACTACTTTTCATATGTGTGAAACAGCCATGTTATGTATGTTGTTGGAATATTAGATGTTGGAATAAACTGTCTCAAAGAATCAAGAGTGTTTTACCAAGGCACTCCATCTATTTAGCTTGATTAATCCTATGTACAATCTTAGAGAACAAACACTACTCTTAGGAAAATATGGAGGTAGATGATTAAGCAATGCTGTCCCTTCAGTCATATGCACTACAGTAACCATGCATTATAGTTTTCCACCTCCTTTCCCTCTCTTTGGAAGATTTCTTCCCCTACTCTTCTTTCTCCCCAGTCAATCTATACTTGTAAGATTAAGTGAAGGATAAACATCCTTCAAGGCACAGCTCACTTACTACCTTATCCATAATGGCTTCTCTCTACATATGGGTATAAAATATATATGTATATATTTTTGAAAGACAAAGATAGAACAGGAGACAAGGTCTGCCAACATAATTTTAGAATATGGGAAACTTACAGATGATGTACAGAGGGGAATGCTGAAGCATAAGTGTAAATCTATAGAGAGGGAGCCACAAAACGCAAGTTGACTTTTCTCTGTCTTCCTGGAGGAACAAACTAGCCAAAGAGAAAATACCTAGAGAGACTGACATTTCTGAGTCACTCAGACCAACAGTCAGGTTTTTTCCTCTATTTTCCTATAGTGAATTCACCAGTCAAAGAGGCCCCCTCAGTTATACAGAGCTCTCACTTATCTTTTCAATGCCCCTTTCTCAAATATGATGGACTGTGTGAAGAAAGTTTCTAGCATGAAAGACAAGAAAAGTAACATGCAAACAAATGAATAAATGAAAGGGAACTCTGAAAACAAGAGAAAATGCAGGGAAGAGACTATAATTACAGAAATTTGGATTATCCTCAAAGACAGAAGATAGTACATCTATGAAATGAAAAGAGGGTGCTATTAAGAAAAAGAAGAAACAGCAAACAAAATGTGTAATAGACTGTTTAGAAGATAAAGTTGACAAATTCTCTCAGGAAGTACAACACAAAACGGAGATGTGAAAAACAGGCAAGAAACCTGAAGGACCCATTTAGGAAATTATGTTGTGAAGGAAAGTCTAAGGAAAATATTATAAAAATTATAATCTCATATACATCCAAGCTGTAAAACTGAGTAGATAATAGAGTTTCAGATATTTAAAATATCAAACAAAACGATACTATCTCCCACAAACATTATCAAAGGAAGGTACTGGATGCCTCCATCAAAATGAAGGCATAAACTGAAAAACAGAATGAGACACAAACCATTCCCTCCAACAAAACATTTTTATAAATGTCCATTTTTGCCAAAATTAAAAATAAAAGATCTAACCTTAGAACAAAATAGAAATTTGGTCTGCAATTAGAAATTTGGTATGGATTGGAGTAGGTTTTTATTCCAATGCAACTATTTTGTTAATAAAGACCTTACCCACTTACAGAGGAAATATGTTTATTTGGAGATATGCCACGTATCTCCAAATATACAGAATCCACTAGGTTTTTTCTGAAGCAAATACCACATGTGTTATGTATGTTATTCTTGAATATACAAACATGGATTTTACAATTTCACACAGGCTTTCAAAATGCTCTATTTCACAAGACTAATCCGATACACTTGAATTCACTCCAGAAAATAAGGAAAAATGGAAAATTTGAAAAAAAAATACATCACTTGATAAACTCCTTCCATTTAAAAATATACATGCTTAGAATTGTGTCCGAGTAGTAGCTGTTTGTTGAATGAGTCAGTGATGCACGATTATAAGAGTTGTGTAACGCTATGCTACAATAGATTCTGGGTATTGAAGGACTCTATAATAACAGGTGCTTATTGGTGGTGATATTGATAAGGTTCATTCAGGCATTTTAACAAGTATGGATTCAGTGTCTACCATGTTGCAAATACTGTGGCTTAAAGATGTGCGAAATTTTGAACTGAAACATTTATTTTCCCATTGTTAGTATTATACTCTTTGATACTCAGTTCTCTGATAAACTGATGAGACTAAGACTCCACAGATCTCCTTATTGTGGCAAATATTATAGCAATGTACATGGAAGTGTTTGTACTCTTCTTTTTATGTTAGTCTAGATTGATTTTTATTCAAAATACCTACCATGTTTAAAAGACTGAAAACATACTGAGAGTACTGAGTGGGGAAAATAATATAATTTTTCTTAAATACAAAAAATCCTCAAAGGCATTTATTTAATATTTTATCTGAATTATTGGATTTACTGGTAAAAGACAGCAAACAAAGCATATGTGTTAGTCCCTCCTTATTTCCCAATATCCCACTGAAAGAAAATTATAAAAATATACATATGAACTCATGGCTTTAAATATATATCAGGTAAACAGACTCAGAAAAACCTTTAGATGTGTGGGTATGTATGGGTTATTATGTATTTCCTAAAAGCAATGACAGTGCAGTAGCAAACAGCACAGTTAGCATCAATCTTCAAAAAAAGGATCCAGGGGAGGAGCTTCAAGATGGCAGAGGAGTAAGACATGGAGATCTCCTTCCTCCAAACAAATACATCAGAAATACATCTACATGTGGAACAACTCCTATAGAAAACCTACTGAAAGCTGGCAGAAGACCTCAGACCTCCCAAAACTCTGAGTTGTGTGGATGACAGGCTCTTTGTGCTCCAGCCAAGTGTCAGGGCTGTGCCTCTGAGGTGGGAGAGCCAAGTTCAGGACACTGGTCCACCAGAGACCTCCCAGCTCCATATAATATCAAATGGCAAAAATCTCCCAGAGATCTCCATCTCAACGCCATGACTCAGCTCCACACAATGACCAGCAAGCTACAGTGCTGGACACCCTATGCCCAACTCCTAGCAAGACAGGAACACAACCCCATCCATTAGCAGAGAGGCTGCCTAACATCATAATAAGGTCACAGACACCCCAAAACACACCACCAGACATGGGCCTGCCCACCACAAAGACAAGATCCAGCCTCATGAGCCAGAACAAAGACACCAGTCCCCTCCACCAGGAAGCCTACAAAACCCACTGAACCAACCCTGGCCACTGGGGACAGACACAAAAAACTGGAAACTACGAACCTGTAGCCTGCAAAAAGGAGACACCAAACACAGTAAGTTAAGCAAAATGAGAAGACAAAGAAACACAAAACAGATGAAGGAGCAAGGTAAAAACACACCAGACCTAACAAATGAACAGGAAATAGGCAGTCTACCTGAAAAAGAATTCAGAATAATGATAGTAAAGATGATCCAAAGTCTTGGAAACAGAATGGAGAAAATACAAGAAACATTTAACAAGGACCTAGAAGAACTAAAGAGCAATCTAACGATGATGAAAAACACAATAAATGAAATTAAAATTTCTCTAGAAGGGATCAATAGCAGAATAACTGAGGCAGAAAAACAGATAAGTGACCTGGAAGATAAAATAGTGGAAATAACTACTGCAGAGCAGAAAAAGGAATGAAAAGAACTGAGGACAGTCTCAGAGACCTCTGGGACAACATTAAATGCACCAACATTCAAATTATAGGGGTCCCAGAAGAAGAGAAAAAGAAAGGGTCAGAGAAAATATTTGAAGAGATCATAGTTGAAAAGTTC